TCTGTCCTTCCTCCTGTCGTGACTGGTTTGTTGACATTGTATATTTGGAACTGATTATGACGAGACTGCATGACAGGGCTATAATTAACTATTATCATCTCAATAATTGTTTACCTATTTTGATTTAATGATTAGTTGTTTGGATCGATCGAACTCAATTTCTTTTCATTCAGACATCAGAGAATTATCTGATTCTAGTTAAGGTTCAAGAAACAATTAATTGGTTAAAAAATTAGTTGACTACTATTACAATAATTGATTTGTCAACGTTTTATTGTGGTCGTTCCCGCCCTATGGACCTGGACCTATGAGCGTTTATGTGTGTTTTATTGTTTGTACAAAATAAACAAATGAAAATGAAGAACAAAGAGAGATCACTTACTTAGAACCTAACAACAGATGCCTAACAACAACAGGAATATTCAAACATATTTAAACTTAAAACTATTGTAAAATATGCTTCAAATCTTACATAAACATTTTTAACATCCTCAACCAATTATGCTGTTGTGTTGCTACTGGCATTGCTTCAGATAATCACCAGATATCGAGTTGTGCAGACATCTTGTTTCCTAGACTTTTCTGTAAGAATGCACAAATGTGTTTTGTTGGAGGTCGTACAGGTCACAGAGACAGAATAATTGTGTATATGCGAGGGCAATTATTATGTGTTTAAGATGTGATTATTTTTCCTCCCCTCAATCATACTCTTATCCAAAGCTACTCATTTGTAAAATAAAAAGAAACAACAGAATGCATCTTGTATACTTATGAGTAGCTATTCAACATGATTGCAGAGGCAGTGGGTTTGATTAATGCAGATGAATATTTCATGCCGGACATCCAGCTGCTGCTCATCTGCAGGTCTGCCTCCACAGGAGATCGCCTCGGGCTGCACTGCCTAACAATGTCACATATACAGTCAATGAGCGCCTTGGGGAGACTTTCACAAGACAATGTCCACTTTGAATCATCTGTACCTGCAATGTGTGGGAGGGAGGAAGGACATGCTGCCCCCAAAAATAAAATAATGGTTACTGTAAGTGAGTGGGATGTGTGCAGATTTCAAATCGTCCAAACAGGAGATTTAAAATGACTAATTTCTTCTATGCGCCATGTTTGGTACTTTTAACTACTGCTTGCAAGTATTCAATTTCGGTATATTTGGAGATAGGTAAATATGCAGATCTAATAGTAACACTCAAGTTCCAGCCATCAGACAGATCCAGGTGCAGCCTTAAATGTCAATGATCAATGAAACCAAACACCCATTCACACACACAATTAAAATAATAATAACTAACTAATAACTAATTACTTCCATGATCTATGTTTGGTTCTTTTAACCATTGCTTGCATGTGATGTCCAAAAATTCAATGTCAGTATATTTGGAGACAGGAAAAATGCAGATCTTATAGCAACACTTTCAAGTACCAGCCATTAGACAGATTCAGGAGCAGCCTTAAATGTCAATGGTCAATTGAACTAGGGCTGTACGATATATCGGAAAAAAATATTGATATCGCTATATTGGTGCGTGTGCAATATCCATATCAAAAATATGTGCGATTAAATTAAAAATATATGTATTTGTTTATTAAAGACAACAAAACAGTGATTTGTCTTGCAATTGAAATTTTAGGTGAAAAATATTGCAATAATATTGTTATTGCAATACTAAACACTCATATCGAATATTGCTCTAATTTCCAATATCATGCAGCCCTAAATTGAACCAATCACACACATTTATACACCAGGGTGAGTGTCTTAGCTGGTTTCACACCTGCCAACACCTGTCAGTAGAACTGGCCGCTAAACCACTGATACTGTATATATGTTGGGAGCAGGATTCTAACCGTCCATCTGAGCTTCTGCCACCCAGCTGGTACATTGCTGCTACCCGGTAATGTTATGTACTGGTAATATAAATATACAAATACAGAAAATAAATTCCTGCTTAAGACACACCAATTCACTTTGGCTTTCAACACCAGGTAGCAAGTTTAATTTTAATTTGTGTATAGAGATTGTTTTAATTATTTGTATGTGTCTATTATTATTGCTGTTTTGCACGTGTCTGCACTTTGGTAAGATGTTTTAAAATGTGCTTTACACATAAACATTGATTAATTGATTGATGAATCTGTGATGCAAAAAATTCCAATTTCCTATTCAACGTTTGCATTTTGTCAAGAGCAAACGAGCCACATTTCAGGCGTTTTACTGCATATATTGTGGGTGAAAGAAGGCAGGCTGGTGATGAGGATCAAATTGGAGAGTGGCTATGTCTGAAATGGAGAGAGCGAAGTATGGTTAGATAGATGAGGTAATGACAGAGTAGAGGCAGTGGTAAAGGGAATGAGAAAAGACAGCGGGACAGAGGGGAGGAGGGGGGCGATCTCATTTGGTCCGACTGCACTGGTTGAAAAGACCTCGCTGTGTTCCGCGCTCAACAATTTCCAGTGTTCCCTCGTCATGACATGACAGTGACATTAACGCCTCATTAAAAGCTTGAGGGACAGGAGAAAGTTCATCAAAGAGAGAAACATTTACTGTGGCAGATTCCCAGTAAAACCGGATAACTCAATTATTCTTTTGAAATTGCTATACAAGAGTTAACAATTATTATATAATGATGCAATAAATGCCATCTTTGTGGAACAGAAAGATTAAAATCCATGCTTTGGAAACATCTTATTGCAGACAATTAGAAAATACATAGGGCAGAAGATTGTATTGACATATACTGTATTGTGATACTTCTTGTCAATACTGGGCTTTGCTTAGGGAGGCCACAATACAGCAGCTTTTTCAATTCTGACACCGATATGGATTTTTTTAGGCTTTCAATGTCTGCTGTGACGAGAAATACTATCACGACAAATAAAAGGGCCAATCAGAATATCGGCTCAAGCGATTACATAGGACCAAGACATGAACCAAGCAAAGATATTCTACTTTTTCTGTTATAATGAGAACCTAATTGTGGCTTAATATATTAGGCATAAACCAAATAGATATAAAAGAGGATATTTGATGACACTAAACAGTTACAAGATACATAAGTCACATGTACACCAAGTACATGTTGGGGTGTCCAAACTTTGTAGAAAGTGGGCCACTTTAGTTATCCAGACTTGTCTAAGGGCTGACAACCCTGATTGTAAAACTGTTTTGACTGGATTCAGGCTGTTTGAGGCTTTAAAATAGGGTATGACATGTATAATATTAGCACTACAGCAACATTAGCACAATTTTGCGACATAATCACAAACAAAAGTAAGTAAATACAAATAAAATGAACAATTTGATTCTACATTGGTTGAGCTTAAGTTGGGTGGATCACACTGGATAACAAAGTGCCTCAATGGTTACTTTGTGTTGGAGAGGCAGAGGGCCAGTTAAAATGACAAAGTGGGCCGCATTTGGCACTCAGGCCTTTGCTTGGACATGCCTGTGTTAGACTATGGATTATGCCACATGGATTATTCTAAAACAGTCTTTGTATATGTATTTGTAGATATCTGGGACTTGGAGGTAAAAGTGTGGATAAGCAGTGGCAAGACAAACAGTATGTGTGTGTTTGTGAGTGTGTGTGTATATGGAATAGCATTTCTTACTGTAGTTTGTTTGCTAAACTTTACATTGTGTTGTATTGTTGAGCATGTCAGCCATCATTGTATCAAAGGAACCCCTCGAAAAAGAGATATCCTTAAATAAATAAATAAAACAAAAACATACACGCACACAAGGACACGGTAGGGGGCCCTCAGCAGGAGGCCTTCTCCTACTTGGTGTTGGCAGAGGGGATTCACAGACGGAGAGCGAGAGAGACAGGCATAAAGCCTAGCGTACATCGACAGAGAAACTGGGGACAACTAGTTGCAAGGCGGCTTTTGGCAACTGAGAGGAGATGGTGGGAGATGATCAGTTGCCAAAATCGGTCGATGTGCGCGCTCTTACAACTGGAGATGATCAGTCGGTCTCCAGTTTCAGTCAGTTGCCCGTGTTCTACTTTTCGGCAACTAGTTGTCCTCAGTTTCGGAGATATGACCCGATGTGCGCGCTCCATGCGCCGCTCCGACAACGTGTGTGTATTGTGTGTATTGCGCGCCCGCAACAGTTTATGTCAGAAAACACACTGTAGTTGAGGTCAGTTGCTGTCGATGTACGCGCTGTTATTCCCGAGACTGGTCTGCTACTGGGAGTTGCCCGTTTTCGTCAGATTGTCGATGTGTGCGGGGCAGCAACTCATATGCGACGGATATAATCAGTTGCCAGTCCGATGTACGCTAGGCTTAAGAATGTCACAATTATATAGTAGCTGTGACATAGAATACAAGTTAGGTGGTTGGTCACATACAGAGGGATGTGACTCTAAAAACAATATATAGAGCTGAAAACTCTCAGAAAAGTACAAACCAACAATGTCCAAGTGAAATAGTTTGTCTAAAGACCAGTGATAGTTCAATATAGGGCTAAAACAACTAAATAATTTGAATTTTTTGTTTCAATTAATCTACTAATATATAAACTATGTGAAACTGTTGCACATCAACTGTTGCACACTGAACTAATCCACTGCTTGTAACTCACAAACTATTTTCTGCATGGTGCCAACAGGGCTCTGAAGACGTGACTGTCTGATTAAGCATTTAAGAAGCAAAAAACATAGTACCAACCCGTACCATTCTCTATACCCATGATTTGCCCTCTGGGGGGCGATATAGCCACAAAGCGTCACAGCCTCCAAGTGTACTGCATTTGTCAAAGGTAATGATCAATATTTAGTCCCATTTCAAATGATCAACTTTATGACATTTTATGATAATCCATCCCACAGAATTAAATAATAGAATAAAATCAATCAAAGCGTCAAGGCTGAGTAATTATGTTTCACCAGCTCAATAATCAACAAGATGTTGCAGTGCAGACCAAATCTCAAACTCATATTTAGTGCATGCCCGATGTAATTGCGATTGGGGGAAGCACATACCTGTCATTGTCCACACTTCTGAATCCTGGCAGCATCTGTCTGAAGCTGGAGTTGCGGTCCAGTTTGGGCTGACTCTTGGTGCGTTTTATGGAGCCCTTCAGACGCCGACTGAGGAAACCCTGATGGACAGAGAGAGATGCGGTGAGTACACGCTATTCCCTGTTGGTTTAGGAGGGCTGCCAATCACTTGTGCTCATTCTGGCAATGGAACAGAACCCTTAATGCAGTCATTTATGCCACACAAATGTACTTAGAGCAGATGTCAGGAGAAGTAGGGGGTAAGAAATGAATATAGATTTTTAGAAAGGGATTCGGTGGAGCAAGTCGCAACAAGGTCAAACACAACACACACAATGAATACCAAGCAAGTGGAAGAGTGTCGACTATATACACACACACACACAAACACACACACGCACAATCATTCCGCTTGTTTGTGCAAGTCATGTCACTCAAAGCAGCGATGTTTTGTAATCATTCTTCCAGACTAATTTTGCTCCTGCACCCCTATATTAGTTTTGCTTGCTCTTGTCTTTGTCTAAGCCGCTGTGTTTACTTCTTCTAACATCTGCAATCACACTCCCCCAAGCACATCGCTGTCTCCATAGTAACTGCTGGTTGGCAAAGGGAGAAATGGGAGAAAATATTCAGACGGACGAGAAATGTGCGGCAGAAATGGTGAGACGTTTGTGTGCGAGAGAGCGTGGAAGACAATGGTGAGTGGTGGCTTATTTTAGTTCGGAATCAAACAGGATTTTTGAGAGGGAACTGGGGAGTGGGGTAGAAAGAAGGACAAGAGCATGCTTGTTAAAGGGGAGTTTGAATAGTGTGGAGGAGGGTTGCTTAAGCCATACAAATCACTGTCTTATTTATAATTCAAACTATTTAAAAGTATAGGGCTGGTTTTACAACACGTACAACTTATAGTAACTGGGAAAAAACGTTTAGCAGAAGTGTACTCGAAGATCTTAAACTAAAAAAGGTCTGCTCTAAAGTTGCACAGGGCATGGCGACAGAACGATGGGAGGAAAAACAGCATCAGGTGCAGCAATCTGGTCCAATTACCCAATAATGAACAGTTATGTGGGCTGCGGTGTGAAAATGCCTTCACCGTTCAAACCAACAGTTCTTCTCATACAGTCACAGAAGGTCTGACAGGCTACTGGCAGGTGACAGGGAACACACCGAAGCCCATACATGTCCCAGTCCCACCATTAACAAACCTGCATAATTATTGTACAGAGTGTGAATGTGGCCCCAGGCATTGGCGGGAAAAAACAGATAATTAGAGTGCGGCTTCCAGACAGGATGCCAGCTGATCACAGAAGAGTCTCAGCTTCCTGCAAGTGAACAGCATCTGTCATTGGGACGCACTGTGAGCTATGTGCAGAGCCCTGTCACTGTCACACCTCTTGCCAACACAGGGAGCACCCAGGCTTCATTGTGACATCCACCAATACATATTCATTCAGCCTTTTTCCCCGTTTCCCCTTGCAATGGGGAATACTAACAACGTGATATGTTACTAACAGTTATCCAGAGGAAAATAAAGCCATGGTACTTCCAAACATATCACGACTATTCTGACCCTTGAAGTATATTTCCTTTCTCATGAGATCTTCTGTGCTCCTCACGCATGCAGACTGCCCCACTGTTTAAGCGTTAACATTCCGGTGCTTATTATCAGAGCTGCATCAGGGAACAAGCCACAGTGTCTGTGCCAAACATTATTAAGATTAAGATTAAATTATCCTTTATTCGTTCCACAGTGGGGAAATTTCGGGATTGCATCACCATTTACAGAACAGTATAGGAACGAGGAGCACACAGCACAAGATATCTCAATACAAAAATAAATATATCTCTAACTTTAGCATAATAAAGAAGCAACAATTAAGTATAAAATCTATGACTTTAGCATGATAAAGAAGGAAGCAGAAAAATCTATATGCTATATAGAGATTATGCTAAAGTTAGTTACGGTCAGCACCAGGACCATGGACAGTCAATGATATGAACAGTTGTGGCCTACATACACACAAATGCTCTTTCACTATGGATGACTCCCAAGTGGCCCCTCCTGCAGGAAAACTGAAATTGTGCAGTGATTATTGGAACTGCTGTTGTCGTGACACCCGCGTGACCCCCGGTCGATCTGCGTGGCACAAAATGGCAGCCAGTTGCACTAACTTTAAAATTGCCAAGAACAAACTTGATTTGAAATGATGCACTCTCCTCAGCATTGACACATATGCGTAACTTAGCCTTGAGCCAAGAACCGTCTTTTCAACCAGGATCTAAAGCTGTTTTGACTCGTTTGAGCCCATGAACAAAAACAAAATCATTGGGAGAAAATACAAAAGAGTTTATACTTTTGATCCTTGTATCGAGAGAAGTTAAAATTTAGTTAAAACACACAATGTGAATACTGCTTATACTTTGGTAAGCAATTCCCACTTAATGACATCATCATTTTGGCCGAGTTGACATGTAAGTCACAGCTGAGTGCACAGCAAACGGCCAACTATTGATGTCAGCAGTCAACTGTGAGCAGAGGCCATTAGCTAAAGGAGCAGGGCTGAGTCATCGCCGCTGGCACGAGAGCTATGCTTAGGGCTCCAGACAAGGTGGCACTCCAAGCACCAGACTCCCATTCATACCTGAACTCACAGTTTGACATTATTTTATATTCAGTATGCACTACCAATTAACAGCCAATTCATATGCAATTTGGGAAATGGGATTATTAAGACTGTAATGTCTTTGCAACTGTTTTTGTTGATTTCACTAGCTTGTTTTAGTCTTGTTCTTTTTACCTTGTTTTAATTATGTACATTTCTGATGCACACTGGGGAAATTTGCAGATGTATTCCAATGTGGTTTTACTGCAAATGTGAAATAAAATGAGTCTGAAAATAATGCTTAAATAATAATAAATAATAATTGTACTTTTTGGACTTGGGATGGGAAGTGGTCAGATATGTCTTCTCCTTTTTCTTTTTATTGTTGTATTGTTTGATGCCTTCTACTGATTTTTCATCTTTCTGTTCTGTTTTAAACCCCTTTGAAAAGCCTAACCAGGGACGGGGGCTGCAAATTAGCCTATGGCTAGACGCCTTATGTACATAACATCGGCCACTGAGCTGGCAATGTTTTCTTGTACTGTCCCTGTCAAATAAACAAATAAATAAAAATAAAAAAATTCCTTGTACAATTTAGAAAGAGCCCAAGATCTATGTATACCAACGGCAAAATAAAAATATATCCAGGTTTCTCTTCTGCTATTATCTAAAAAGGTAAGTAATATTTGAGCTACACAATGATCAGACCAGACAAGAAAAGGTAATCTGGGTTCAACAGACGTATAGGACAAGAAAAATGAAGGTGATTTTGACACTTGGGGACAGAAATAGACGTAAGAGCATTCAGAATGACAGCCAGCGCCTGACACAAGCTAAACTGAAAGGAAAATTACGGAGAAAACAGCAAATGATAGACAACAGTGCGGGGCTGCGGACCCTACAGGGATCAGGTAAAGACTGGAACAGACAAAAAGGTATTCACCCTAACCTTAACCCTAAATAAACTGAAACAAAACATCACTTAACAACAACTTTGCACCATAGAAACATGAAAATAATCTAAATTGTAGCATAATTTCCAACACACAATGGCAATTACAGGAGTACGTAAGACTTTAATCAATTTCCTGTGATGATTAACAACATCATTCAGATTTGGCCCTTACATTAATTGGTTATGCCGTGTTCTGCAGCTTTCATTTAACAAACATCCTTTCTGCATGCCATAATAACATGGTAAGGCTATTACATTAGCAGAGGCTGACATGAGGCAAGTGCTACGTCACGAGTGCAAGCCAAAATCATTGAGCTTTGTAATTATTTCTCATCACTGTAGCTGACAGCTAATTAGAAAGAGGAGGAGAGAGGAAATCAGATTTTACGCTTCTGCTTCTGCAAGAGACGTGTTTTCAGAAAGCTCAGAATTACTCAGTACATACTATTTGTACAGAAAATATGTCTGAGATTACTGAATATTATTTTTCTTGTAAATAATGAAAATAAATACCATCAGTTTTGCATTTTTTTTGGATAAATGCAAAAGTCCTTTCAATAAGATGGACATGAGGAGCCGCCAGTGAATCCATCAAAGAGCACTCAGAGAAATAAACTAAGATAGCTTGGAAAGATTGTTTAGAAATGCTTCCCAGGGATAGTTCCCAGATGATAAAATAATACCTTTGTAAGCAGAACCCAACAAAACTAAACTGAACTAAATCATTATGAATGTGAAACCTCTGTTGTCTCAGCAGAAATATTGAAAAGACCTTAGTTTGTCTCATAACCTGCATTAGTGAAGATGCACCACAAGGTAATGGGTCAAAAATGCCATCTAGAGGTGAACATGGGAATTGCTCTCTTGGTCAAGTATGCAACTGGTGCATTGTAAAGACCTAACATGTTTTTCAGCCCAGATTATGTTTTTTTCTGTAAGAGAATGAGCAGGATTTTAAACAGACATTTTGTTTCATTCATAGATATATTAAACTTTAAAGATATACTGCTGGTGTCATTTTTAGCTGCCTGGAGGCTTAAGACAATCCACAGAAATGCAACATGAATCAACTTAACTTAAGACTAGAGCTGCAACTAACGATTATTTTGTAATCGATTAATCTATCGATTATTTTTACGATTAATCGAGTAGTCGCTTGGCTGTGAAATGTGTAGAAAAAAATAATTTTCTCATCACAAAAAGCTAAAGTGGCAACACTCGAGGACGTATTGATGGCGTAAACTTAAAGTAAATGTTTGTAACAGGCTCTTTCTGCTATCTGATTGGATGAGACAGACAGATATTCATGAAATTATAAAAACAAAGTCGGTTTTAATAAAAAATACTACATTTTCATGTCATTTTTGCTCTGTTTGAGTCTGTGTGAACCAGAAAACGATTAATCGATTACTAAAATAGTTGTCGACTATTTCAATAATCGATTAGTCGTCGATTAATCGATTAGTTGTTTCAGCCCTACTTAAGACAGTGGTTCCCAAAGTGGGGGGCACAGAGCAATTGCAGGGGGGCGATGAATGAATTAACAAAAAACAGTAATGACAAAATGACACTGCTAGCATAAGATGGACACATTTTTTGAAACATTTCAATCGGAAGTTAGGGCTGGCTGAGGTTATATTATTTACATGTGTGAAATAAACTGCAATGGACTCTGAAAACTGGGGCTCTGTTAATATAAAAGAAAATATATTTGTTGATAAAATAGTCAAATAATAATTGTTTTTATTTGCCACTTACTGTTTCATTTAATTTTCATTAAGTGCTGAAAAAAGGCTGTAAGTTAATTAATTATGTTTATCTGCTTGATAAGCTCTGAATGTCTGTGGATAAATAGGTAAATAGTAAGTACAACAATGAGAATCAACTATGACAATTTGTTGATAAAAGAAATGTGATTTCATAGTCTACTGAAAATGCCAAACAAAGACTTCTCACGATTGTATGAAGTAAATGAGTTTTCATTGATGGCAGCATTGATAGATTGAAAGAACAGTAAAACCAAACTTGTGGTACAGTGACAGAGCGGTCAGCACTCTTGCTTTTTACCAAAAAGTTCCTGGGTTTCAATCCCTGTCGGAGTAGGGCCTTTATGAGTTTGCATGTTCTCCCCGTATCTGCAGAGGTCTGCTGCGGTTTCCTCCGGGTGCTCCGGTTTCCCCGAAAACTAAATACCTGCACAATAGGTAAAATCCTCCAGCTCTGGTCCTGACCAAGTCGAGCATCACCATCTGAAGATGAGCCCTGGGTGCTATGTTGCAGTGACCACTGTTCCTGACAGAGGCCTAAAGGACATTTCCCTACGGGGAAATTAGGCACAACTTAACTTATCTAACGTTTTATTGTATTGTGATTTACACTGTGCTTCAGCTCTTTGCTCAAACAGATGCTTTTGACTGTGAGGATCTGAGTGACATTCGCTGTGAAATATGGAAAAGATCATGACTACGGTTTGCTTCATGATACGTTTGATATCTGTTTTCCCAGCGCGAGCAGAGAGAGTATTAATGTGTGTGACTCACAGTACTCACGGTGACTCTGAACGGCGTGGAAGCAGTGGGCGGCGGCTCCATGGCGGGGGGTGCGGCCTTGTCTGCGGAGCTGCCAGGCATGCTGCGTCTGCGCCCCGTCCGCTCCGGAGGGGACTCTGAAACAAAAAGAAAGTTACTATTTAGAGCTGTATTGTATCCCAACAAATCAGAGTATCAGGTTTAAAAATATATATAATCATAGAGCAAACCTTTTGCTTTTTGACCTGAAATGATTGGAAAATAGTCAAGGTAAATTGATTGTGTTTATTTCACATGTGCTCAAATACAATAGTGTGACAAGGACAAAATGGTTGTGTCAATTCATTTTCAAAAATCAAAAAAGAGTTGTCTGAAATCCCTACCATTGGTTTACCATCATTCTGGTTTCGCAGCTGTTCTTAAAATACTGAAAGACAAACCCCGCTTCCTATCCAGATGGACTAAAAACTTTACTTTTTCACATACAAGAAATATAAGACCCATACTTACGTTCCAACAACAAAAGGAGGATAAAGGAATAGGGTGGTGGAAAATGAAATTATATGCATATATAATGTTTGTTATTTTTATGCAGATCAATTAATTAACGGCAAAAAAACCAAACATTAAAAAGTATTTTAGCCTTTAAAGGTTTCTTCAAACATTGGTAGATGCTTTTTGAGTATATATATATCAACTCTATCTACTTGAAGCTTGGAACTGTAATCTACCTGATGGGGCATCCTCTATCACTTGAGTTGTTAGGCACTTTTAACCATTAAGCTTACATCTAACCATTTGGTTGAGGCAATAATTTAAAAACTAGGGATTAAAAAATATTTGTGTTATTATGTCCTAATCTGGAAAAAATCGTAGAAAATGTAAGTAAAAGCAAACATATTTGTGAATAGATTAGAATAGTTTTAAACTATAGTGAATAGTGAGAGTAAAGTACACAGTCTAAGATTGAAAAGTGAAAATAATACAGTGGAGTGAAGTGTAAACAATTGTCATTAGAATAAAAGTATAGAGTAATAAAAGTGAAATTAGCTTCTAATTTGAGACTCAGCTCGTTTTTGTCTGTGTTTTGACTGAATCTGCTGAGTTCTTGTGTGTCCAATAGTTTTTGTTTGTTTTTATTTTTGTTTGTTTTTATTTTTGATTTGTTTTTTGTTTGTTTATTTACTTTATTTTTGTTGTTTGTTTTTTCCCAGGATAGAGGATAAAATCCACTGATATTGATTTGATGATTATGAGTTTAATGCATACATTTTCTTTGTTTTTAATAATTTTTTTAAGTTTTTTTTTAGGATTTTTTTTTTCTTTTTTTTCCACTTTATTGATTGATCAAATTGAGTGATCACATGTGATTATGTGATCAAAGGGGAGGGTGTTAGTATTAGATAGCAATATGGCCTACGTGCAGGACTGTACAAGGACTCTACAAGGACTCCATGTTATGACTATGATTTGACTGTCTCTTTGTGACACGTATGTCTTTCGATGTGTGACGTGACAATGACTATATAAACTGTGTACTGCCTTTATTCTGTCTGAGGAAAAGAAACAGAGTAAACCAGTGGAACTTGAGAGCAACGTAAATAAACTTCCAGAGTTTGGCACACCACGATCCGTCTCTGTCTGCCTAAATCCTTACACTTGTTTCGCAGCTGTTCTAAAAATACTGAAAGACAAACCCCGCTTCCCTATCCCCCAGTGAATAAAACTTTACTTTTCAAACAAGAAATATAAGACACTATACTTCAAGTACCATACAACAAAAAGGAGGATAACAGGACACTAGGGTGGTGGAAATGAAACATATATGCATAATATAATTGTTATGTTATTTTTATGCCAGATCATTTAATTAACGGCAAAAAAAACCAACATAAAAAGTATTTTAGCCCTTTAATGGTTTCTTCAAACATTTGGTAGATCGCTTTTTGAGTCTATATATCTCACACTCTATCTACTTGAAGCTTGGAACTGAAATCTACCTGATTGGGGCATCTCTATCACTTGGTTTTAGGCACTTTTAACCATTAAGCTGCATCTCAACCATTTGGTTGAGGCCAATAATTTAAAAACTAGGGATTAAAAAAATATTTGTGTTATTAATGCTCCTACATCTGAAAAATCAGAAAAAGTAAGTAAAAGCAGTGGTCCCAGTCTCTCACAGAGAAGATATTGAGCAAGAGGAGTTAACTTTTCAATTTAAGTCAATAGTAACCAGAGTGAGTTGGAGCAAAGAAGATTCTGGTTGGTCGCAAAGCCACATTTGTCCCAATTGTGGCTTTGCGTCCATAATGGTCTTTCGTTTTTGGAAACTTTGGGGATTAGAGCAAAAACAATTAATACAAAAATGTATTCCAGATAAAAATAAAATCATCATAAACTCATTTTTAAAACCATCTAAAACTTTATCTGAAGACAGTAATAATTGTGCTGTTAGTTTCACCCGGGTCCGACCAACACTCAACAATAGTTTTGCAAATAATATTAAATGTATTGTTAAATGTATCTTTTGGACTTTAAGGATGGAAATAATCACCATAGATTTATTGATAAGTTGAAGGTAATAATTGTTTACTTAATATCTGAAATAATTAGTAATTATCACATGATTTGTTTCATATAGAAAAGTCGAGGGTAAATATCCCTTGTTCAGCCAATCAGCCATAAGTCTCATAAAGTTACTCGCAGGGTTTTTCTTACAAGTTTGAAAAAGCCTAATGTTAGATGAAGAAAGCATGTAGTGGTCTCAGTTGTTGAATTCTGCAATTAAATGTGTTTTCTGCTAAGAGTAAAAAAATAATTTATCATTTGAATAAAATATTAAATAAGATCTAGATTTACTCCATCTCCAAATGCAATCTGCCCCATCAAAACAATGTTTGAAAAGATTTTTTAATAATACATTAGTCAAATCAAAATTATGAAAGGATATCATTCTGCACTGAAATGAATACTTGCTGCCATGACAACAAGATTGGAATCCTCTTCTTGTACTACCGCTATTAAATACACACGTTTTGAAGGTCACACATTTTTACACATTAAAGCCATCTGTGTGCCACATTATGCGTTTGTACACCTCGGCTGCAGATGCATTGGAAACTTACACTTTACAGAACATAGGAACTATCAAGAGACTGACCATAAACTACAAAGTGTGAACACTGTGCTACATCAGATTGTGGCTTTCAATAAAAAGTACAACTCTAAAGAGAAACAGACAAGAATTGAAAGAAGATTCAAACTGCACTGGGTGGTAATCTCAGTCATGAGGTGTGACACTGTACACAAACACATGATTTTACTTGCCATTAGCCTTGTTAGCAAATTAAACGTGTTCCCCCCTCATGCAACTGAACACAGAACTATTGTCCTCGTGCATAGTATTTCTTTTTTTTTTCTTTGCTCATTTATATGCTCAGCTGAACTATCACGTAAACTTTATGTTGTCAACAATATGGCTTCTTATTGGTGGTCAGAATAAAGACAGGAGAATGTGCTTAGCAGTATATTATCCTGTCTGCTGCAGTTTAGGGTCAGCAGAGCCCAGTATAGACAAAACATGCCTGGTCAACACAGATAAGGCTGCATGCTGTGGAAGATAAACAAAAAGTAAATCATGGTTATGTTCAAATCAGAACTAATGACTCCCCAAAATTCTTGCTCAAAATACCAAAACGCCACAGACATACAGTAAAGGTATTTGTGCATCTATCCGTTCGTCTACTTTCCTTCCTCCCATTAACAGTTAGCCGTATAGGTCAGCCTGCGTGTTTATGCTATAATGAAATACGTACAATCTGCATTCAACCCGGGCCTAAAAATGCCCCACACCGGTGCAGTGAAAACACAACAGGCAGCACAATAAGATAAGTTAAGAGAAACCTTTTTTGTGCCACATTTCCATTGAATTAAAAAAATATAGCTTCTGCACAATATAGATAATAAGCTATAGGAATCTCTGGACTCCAAGAAATTACTAGCAAAAACTCGATAGCAGATACCCCACAATAGACGTGAATCGTCCCAACATTTTAATGGTGTCTTTCTACCATCACATCCCGTCAACACACTACCTTTCAGATCAATCTGTCCAGTAGTTTTTGTGCAATGCTTCCTACACATGGACACAGACACGATTACAATATAATGGAGGGTTGATAAATAAATTAACACATTTTCTAAGACTGAACCCTGTTAATATTACAGTGGAGCTCTGTCATCTGCAGCCCTATTTGTGAAAAATGGTCTCAAAAGAGAATCATAAATTGAGGTGTTTTGACGGGAGGGAAAAATGCGCATTCACACAGACTCTGTGGAGCGTTGAAATGTGGAGCACAAATCGCAGGCTGTCAGTGTGATAGTTTCTGTCCACCTGCTGAACTGGCTTCCCCTGACCAACTCTTCCTCTTTCCCATCAGCATCAGGGCTAGACAAACCAAAATACAGTAATGAGAATGAACAAACAAGACAAAAAATTAGAATTTCCAAGAGAGACAAAAATGTACCTTAGTTTTGGGGATGCCAGAATGTATGACCAAAAAACAAACGTTTAATCATGACAGTTACCTTTATTTAAAGATAGGAGATCACTTTTTCAATTACATTTTATTTAATTTAGTTTTGTATAAGGCTAAACTCACAACAGTAGTCGTCTCGGGAGGACCGTTCAAACTGTGTCGAATCGGATCAGAGAATCAAACCGTTTGAACACAAGAATTCAGTAGTATCAGACACGTTCGAGCTATTGGTCCATATGTAGCTCATGACCAATGTCCATAAATGTTGATAAATGTCCATAAACGTCCTTTAATGTCCTGAATCATCACCATTGTCCTTAGAACCTCCTGCATCGGAAAGGAACTACTCGAAAAACTCAGTGTGAAAAAGTGAGAAAAGTGAGCCCTTTGTCCTTTCCTCTTCACCTGTATGCAGTGTATGCACGGCTTTTGACAGCTGCAGTAGCGCTCAGACCTACAATAAATAGGTTTGATATCTCTGCGATCGCACTTACGCAGTCATGAGTTCAGGTGGATATAAAAGTGTGTAAAGTGTGTGGTGAGGGGTTTTTCAGCCTTAAAACACAGAGCTGCCACGTTGCGGATTTTGCTTATTGCAG